CAGAAAGCACCAGCAAGGGCTCCATCTACGAGAGCACGGGGAGAGTGTGGTAAGGAGCACAAGGAAGAAGAACAGCAAGACACCATCAGGGAGCAATGTCCATATGGCAGAGCGAAGGCTGCTTTGGACTAGCCAGTGGGATCTGTTACAGAGGCACATTTCATTGAGCGCTCTTCAGGGTCCCCTCCCTGCATTTCCAGGCAGCTAAGAGGTGTTTTTAATGGCTGCGCTCTCTGGTACAGTTGACTGGGAATGTTACATAACAACTGTAACTCAACATTGTCAGTCATTTTGGCTGTTTGTAGCTGGGTATAACGTCTCACTCAGCCTACGTGGAGAGCTCCTTCCAATTCACACTCTCCAGTAAGTCTCAAAGAGGCTGAAGGGCCAAGCTAGAGAGCGGGGAGATGGCGAAAGGCGCTGAGGTTTCAGTGGCTCCCTCTTATGTATCCAGACACTGCCAAATAGAAACCGCTGGAATGGAAGGAGGGGGCCCCTGCCTTGGGAGTCCAGTACGTGCCTCACCCGAGTGTCATCTCCTGGGACACAGCTGGAGAAACAGAGGGGCTGCCGCTGGTGTGCGTTTATGGGATATGATGTGCAAGGGATAATGGGAAGAGTTAAGCTGTGTAAATCATTGCTGGTTGTGGAGGATCATAGTGTGGGAGGCTGTTGGTTTGGGGGGATTCCAGTACAGAGGTTTCTCATTGGGGGGATGGCAGTCAGGCGGTTGCTGTTTTGGGGGGATCACAGGGCAGGAGGATGCTGGTACCGGACGAGATCGCAGTGCAGAGTTTGCTGGTTGGGAGGGATCACGATGCAAAGGTTGCTGTTTTGTGTGTGTGTGTGGGGGGAATTGCAGTAAGTAGGTTTCCAGGGGCGGGGGTTGGGGCAGGGTAGGGGGAGGATTGCAATGCAGAGGTTGCTGGTTCAGAAAGGGATCGTAGCGCAGTGGTTGCTGGTTCAGAAGGGGATTGTAGTGCAGAGATTTACTGGATCAGGGGGATTGCAGTGCAGAGGTTGCTGGTTTGGGGGGATTGTAGTGCAGAGATTTACTGGATCAGGGGG